ATAGATTTATCCATATTTTCTTTTATGCTGCCCAGAAGACACGACCTGTGGGAAGGAAGGGCTGCTGAGTGACTCAGCCGCTCCTGCCCCCAGCAAGAGCTCATCTTGCCCCAGCCTGCTCAGAGAGACTCATTTACAAGCTGTTTATCGATCCCACTCCTGATCCTATTGCTGACACACCCCTGGAGGATTGGGGAGCGCTGGGCAGGCAGTGCCTGCTTTGCAGATGCTGAAATTAAGGTTTTCCAGCACGGGACAAACCCAAACCTGCATCTCCACAACTGTAGGTCCATTTTGGACACTCCTCTTGGAGATGTAACTAAAGGAAAGGGAAAGGGAAAATGGGAAAAGAGAAAGGGAAAATGGGGAAAGGGAAAGAAGGAAAAGGGAAAGGAAAAAGAAAGAAAAAAAAGAAAAAGAAAAAATAAAAAGAGAAAAAAAAGAAAAGAAAGAAGAAAAAGAGAAAAGAAAAAGGAAAAAAGGGGAAAAAAGAAACAAGGAAAAGAAAATGAAAAAGAAAGAGAAAAAGAAAAGGAAAAAGAAAAAAATAGAAAGAAAAGGAAAAGAGAACAGGAAAAAGGAAAAGGAAAGAAAAAGGCCCATGTCTAATACAGTTCCAAAGAGGGGAAGAAGAGGGAAGCCACTTGGGTGGATGTGCCATCCACAAAGCCAAGGAAAACCATCTTGTGCCACATCCCACGTGGACATGAGCAGGGCAAGGTCCCTGAAGCAAAAACAGGGAAATAAGCTGTTGTAAATGAGACAGTGGAAGGGAGAGGGTAGGAAAAAGCAGCAAAGTAATGCAGCTATTCCTGCTGAAAATGTCTGTTCCAAAAATAGTCTGTGTTAGTCTTTCAATACCGACACATCATGAGTTCTGCTCTTCATGAAAAAAAAAAGCCCTTCAGTGAGCTGTAATGGCTCATCTCTGCCCAGTGTCTGTCATCTAAAGGGTAAAACATCTTACATAAACATGGATTTTATTTGCCAGCACTACAACAGCCTCTCTGAGGCTGAATCTAATCAATCAGGCAGGCAGAGACCCATTACCATGGGCTGCCTGTAATAAGGTCTCTCAAAAGCCAGGAAGGGCTGTTTTCCAAATGTGTCTCTGAGTTGGATGTCAAAGAGGATTCAACAGGGCAAGTGCATCTCTCATAGAAATATCTGGTGTGGTTTAATTTCACCCACTTCAGGCAATAGTGGCAAAGCCAGGCAGCAAAAAAAAAATATCATTATTTAATTTTAAAGATAGGACAGTGCCTCCAGCTCTGTTCCAGGTCCAGCTCTGCAGAACATCCCCCTGCTGCAAGATGTGCTCAAAATGGTCCACAAAAATAGCTTTTCTCCAGGTAAACCCCAAAATTCCAGGGGTGGTAGCAGCTGCTCAAACAGGCAAACATCCCTCAGCAAGGAGCAAAGGGTTGATCTGCTGCAGGTCCCTCAGAGAAGAAGATGCCAAAACCCAAATGCTGCCCATGGGGATAGAAGAATAAAACCATGGAATAATTAACACTGGAAAGACCTCTGATATCAGCAAGTCCAGCTGCTGGCCATGACCCACCTCAGGTCTGTAACAATCCACCACCATTTCAGGGGAGAAAGTAGGGCCAGAGAAAACCACAGAAGCAAAAGGTTGCCAATAATGGGAGAAGAGGTGATGGATTTAGGCTGAGTTCAGCACACCTCCCTCTCTGGACAGTGAAGTCAGGCTGCAAATCCCTTCCTGAGAGTCTGTGCTGGGTAGAAATCACTATTTGTGAGCACCTTTTCCTTGTCCTGTGAAGTCCTGCAGTTCCTTGTGATGTCCCCAGTGTCACACACCGACAGGTGATTTGGAGTGGCAACTGGTGGCACCAAGAAGACACTTTCCACACATGCCTTTTTCACCAGTGTGTTTCACAGCAGCTGCTTTCAAGCAGGAGAGGGGGAAGTGGGAGATTGTCACTGGTACAAGTCAATTATTGCTCTAAATTCAACATCTTGCACGTGCAGAGCACCAGGGAAGAGCCACTAAACAGTAAGTTCTGGCAGTCAGGTTCTCCTGAAGATTGTTATCCCAGCAGACTCAGGTTCTCCTGCAGGTTGTTATCCCAGCAGGCTCGCTGAAGGCAACAGGGCTTCTGCTGAGTCAGCATCTCAGTGATGCAACTGGTGACCTCCTGTAAGGCTGCAGCTGAAAAGACCTGGATTCTTCACATGCTGGGGCAATAACCAGCTCTGGAATGCTCCTTAGGGCAGCTGATTTCTGCCTTCAGGTGTTTTTTTCACAGTAGGTTTGGCCCCTAAGTGTCAGAAATTTCCCTTTTTATTTAGTTCTTTTGTGAGGGAACTCTTCCCACTCCCCTGGGCTGCAGTGAAGTCTCCACATGGCAAGTTGCTGTGTTTAATTATTCATTTCCTGAAGAAAAACAATGCACCTTCCCTCTTCCAATCTCTCCCTTTCTAGTGCAATCAAATGTGTTCATGCTTGTGTGTGTTTATCCTCTACTTTAAATATATATATATATATATATATATAAATCTCCCTGTCCTTCTTTTCCTAACTTTTCCTAACTTTTCCTAACTTTTCTTAACTGAGGAGCATTTTTTTGCAACTTGGCTTTCTTCAAACTCCTATCTCATACCAGGCCACGGAGTGATTAAAACTGGACTTATTTTTTGATTTGTCTTTTTTGGGGGAGGTTTTGTTGTTGGCATTTTGGGTTTGGGTTTTGTTTGGTGTTTGTTTTTTTTTTTTATCCTGGGGATCATTTCTTTGGGTTTAAGGAGCCAGGTAACAGTAGCAGGCAGCCCCACTGAGGATGATGAGGGGACCATGATGACCCAGCCCATGATGTCATTCCTCAAGATCACAAAATCAGAGAATATCCTGAGTTGGAAGGGACCCCCAAGAATCATGGACTCCACAACTCCTGGCCCTGCACAGGACACCCCAAAACTCACACCAGGTGCCTGAGAGTGTTGTAAAACCACTTCTGCAACTCTGGCAGGTTTGGGGCCGTGACCAAGCTGACTGAGTTGATCCCAGCTCGAGGCTGTGCCTTTTTAGAAGGCTCTTCTGGCATCCACTCCAAACCAGCTTCCCACAGATGTGCATCCAAAACTTCCAGAGAACAACACTGAGCTGTTTGGGACCGTGGCCCATCCATTTGTCAGCAGGGTTTCCAAGCCTGAGTGCATTCCCAGGTCCATCAAACAGCACCCAGACCTGAGCTGGCTCCCAAGGATTCCGCACTCTCCACGCAGAGATTAACATGTGTCAACCATGTCCACCCCAAAAAAGCTTTGGAGGGCTTTTGGCTTTTCACCACGGAACTCATTCCAAAAGGAACTTCAGGTTCTGCCCAAAGCAATCCCAAAGACACACACACAGAGCAAGGTGTGAGTGGTAATTTGGTGTCACTGCTCCGGGAACGTGCTGCAGTTCACCACTCTTCCTTTCTTCTTCTCTTCCAGGTAGGCTGCAAAGCCATGATGGTTTTCTTCCAGTACTGTGTCATGGCCAACTTCTTCTGGCTGCTGGTGGAGGGGCTGTACCTTCACACCCTGCTGGTCATCTCCTTCTTCTCGGAGAGGAAGTACTTCTGGTGGTACATCCTGATCGGCTGGGGTACGCGTCTGCCCTGAGCGGAGTTTTTAATCCACAAACCCGGGGGCTCAGGTGGGGCAGAGGTGTGGTGGACAGTCCTGAGAAGGACTTGGGGTCGCTGGTGGGTGAGAGGCTGGACAAGGAGCTGGTGGATGTGCCCTGACTGCCCAGAAAACTGGGATGTCCTGGGATGCGTCGAAAGGATCGTGACCAGCAGGTTCACGATCTGTGAACGTGCTGTTCTGCTCTGGTGAGCCCCCAATTGCAGAGCTGCCTCCAGCTCTGAGGCCCCCAACATGAGGAGGAGATGGAGCTGCTGGAGCAAGTCCAGAGGAGGCCAAGAAGGTGCTCTGAGAGCTGGAACCAGGCTGGGAGAGCTGGGAATTCACCTGGAGAAGAGAAGGCTCCAGGGAAACCTTAGAGCCCCTTGCAGGGCCTAAAGGGGCTCCAGGAGAGCTGGAGAGGGACTGGGGACAAGGCATGGAGGGACAGGACAAGGGGTTATGGCTTCAAACTGAAATAGAGTATATTTAGATGAGATATTAGGAAGAAATCCTTCCTTGTGAAGGTGGGCAGGCCCTGGCACAGGTTGCCCAGAGAAGCTGTGGCTGCCCCTGGATCCCTGGAAGTGTCCAAGGCCAGGCTGGACGAGGCTTGGAGCATCCTGGGTTAGGGGGTTGGAGCTGGATGAGCTTTAGGGTCCCTTCCAACCCAAACCATTCCAGGATCCCATATGTGCTACCTTGCTGCCAAGGATTTCCTGCAGCCAGGAGCAAGATCAAGTGATGTCCAGAGGGGTTTTACTGAATTCAGGCCAGACAGCTATCCTGGGATTCCCATCACCTGAGTGCCAGTGCTGATAACCCTCTGCTTCTTGCATTTGGGATTTTTCCAGCTTTAATGCAAAAATCCGGTCTTGAACACATTAAAATAAAATAAAATGAAATAAAATGAAATAAAATAAAATAAAATAAAATAAAATAAAAATAAAGTAAAACAAAATAAAACAAAGAAATAAAAGAATTCTGTGAAACGGAATGGAATAAAATACAATGAGAAAATGCCAAGGAAGACAGAATTAAGCTCTTCACAAAGCAACTCACAGCTGAATTGTTAACCTGTGCAAACTAATCCTACCAGATCAGCTTCTTTTCTTTCTCCAGAAAGAACTCAGAGGGGTTTTTTTTGCCTTTAATTCCATTTAATTGAAGATTTATGTTTAAGTAAGCAAATAGTTTTCTACTGAATGCTCTCAGTAGCTAAAATTGAGGAATAACAAGAGTTGGGAAGAACCTCGAAAAGATTAAATAAAATCGTGTCACATCCAGGGACACATCTGGACCCAGGATTTGATCAATCAGCCATGGAGTAACTTCCATTGGAAGTGACAGGAGTTATGCTTGGGTTCACACCACAAAAAAGAGGGACAGCTCTCTGGGCTGGAAGCACAAGAAGGGATGACGTTGGCATGCCTTGATTTAGAGGCAGATAATCAGGTCAGACCCTCTTTAAACCTGCCTTGTGCGTGGATATCCTTTATTTCGGCACCTTGGAGCTGCAGGTTTTAAAGAGAAATGAATAAAAGTAATGATTTTAAATCAGAGATAGCTTATTTCACTCATAATGTGTTCTGAGGTTGCTTGAGTGAAGAAGGGCAACTCCAGGGAATGGCTTGAGGGATCTTTTGGTCTTTTAGTCATCCATCATTTGCAAGAGCATCAGTGATGGGCCTGAAATGGATTATGCATGAATTAATAATTTGGATGCACTAATTACATTTCTTAGTGGTTTTATTGCCATTGCACCCGGAAATCGCTGGTAATAAACCCCACACAAGCTGTGAGTGACACAGAGCAAAGTGACACGTCCTTCCTGAAGTATTTCCAACCTAAATCTAGTCCAAGACAAGAGACAGGGAAAAGAGGGAGCACTCTGATGGAGCAAGAGCACCTCAGTCCTGCAGAAGATCATGGAGTGAGGAGCTGAGGCAGGTTCATCTGGCATGTGAACTTGTCACTGCAGGAACCCTCTGTGGTCAGTGGAAATCCAGGGAAAAACAGTCAAGGGATATTTCAGATTTCTTGTCCTGGAGCAAACATCTGAAGTGGCTCAGTGACCTGAGTGTCATATTTCTCCTCGTTGATGCTACAGAGAGCTTGTGGTGGCTGCCTTGGATACAGGTGTCCACACTGGAAATGCCTGAAGGGATCCCTGTTCCTTGCAGTTCACCATCTGAAGTCCTTTTTTTAGGCATTGCTGCGACAGGAATTTTAAGTGCTGGGGAGCAGTTACAGGAAACTCATCTTACAGGGTCGATGGGAGAGGAAGGCAACAGGTTGTTTGTTTGGCCTGTGGGCATTAAAGAGGTGGGGCATTTGCCCAGTCCTGAGGGAAGGCATCACCTCAGTCCCTCCCTCACCTCAGGAGAGATGGAGAGAGAGAGAGAGGGACAAGAGCCCTGAGGACACTGAGAATGATTTCTGACAGTAACACCACCTCTTTTCTCTTGCCAGGTGCCCCCTCTGTGTTCATCACTGCTTGGACCATTGTCAGGATTTACTTCTTTGATGTTGGGTAAGCCTGTGGACTCGGTTCTCTTTCCTTTATGATTCTTCCTCCCTTCCTCTCCCAGGAAAGCCCTGCAGCTTTAGGAAGCCACCATCCCAGCAGTCAGAGCAGAGCAGAGCAGAGCAGAGGGTCTCCCCTGCCACCACGAACCAAGAAATGCTCCAAGGTCTCCCTGAAGACACACATTTTATGTCAGCTTAGACCAGTCACCCACCCTCTTTGCTTCCCCATCCCTTGGTCAGGGTATTTGCAGGGAATCTGTGAGCAGCCCCCTGATGTTTTCATTTGGCCCAGTTGTAGATGTCAGTTTGATGCTGAAGTCGAGTGAGCCCTACCAGAAATTTTCACTGCTCGGAGCAGAGCTTTTGCATCCTGCAAAAACATGAAGCAGATGCTCAATAAACACACCTTTTACCTCTCCCACAGAAAAGTCTAAAACCTCTTTTTTTTTTTTTTTCTTTTCTTTTCCCAAGCAGATTTTAGGATCTGTTCTTCATCCTCTTTAACCTTGCAGCAGCCTTTGATATTTTAGATAAGAAGCAGGTAGGATACAGCCAAGAAAACGAGGCAGATAGCAGAGTTATCCAAGGATATATGAAAGCAAAATGGATTTGATTCTGCAATCCTCCTCCTTGCTTTTATTCAAGCAGTCAAGAGCTACAGTAATTGGAAAGGTTTTTAGGGGAAAACACTCCAGAGAGTTACAGAATCGGGTGCTTGTTCTGCCCTCACTGTGCATGCCCTCACTTCTTGCATTTGCATCCCACAGCTAATTCCATTTTCTCCCTCTCCAAGTGTGTCCTGATTTGCCCTTTTTTCGGTTGGGGAAGGATTTCTCATTGCATTTTTGATTTATAGTCATGCTCACACATTTCCTGAGGGCCACTCACTTCCTTTGTGCTTTCACTCTCCCTGCATAAAACTGACCTTATTTCCTCTGTTAATAAACAGCCTCCACAATGAGATAGAGACAGGGGGATTTAACCATTCTGGGTGCCATTGCTTCTTGCTGTACATTCTCACTCAGCTCCAGCAATTCTTAATAAAAATACAGCCTTATTTGCATTTTCTGGAGGCTTTAAAGCTCTGCATTTTTGTGCCAAGCAAAACAAGGTGAATTTACAGGATATGCTAATACCTAACATAGATTATTCTTTCCATACCAGAGTTACCTACAGAGAGAAATTACAGGAAGTTAATCCAGATGAAATAAACTCATTATGTCAGATCAGTTAAACAACATTAAGCCTCCGTTCAAACATTTTAACTCCAAATTAAAATGACCTCCATTCAGACCGTCTGAATTTATTTTAAAAATGGAGTGCACTAGACATAATTAGGGCCACTTTAACTCTGAATGAGAGGGCAGAAGGCACCTGACTGTCAGCATCTGTGTGTGAGAAATTTGTTTCATCTCCTTTTAGAGTTAGTGGAGATTGAGTCAGTGGAGTCCATGGAGTGCAATCTTTATTCATTCTAGAGCTGCTGCCTAAAATAGGTCTCAGAACTGTGCCCCAAAAAACGCCTCTGCTTATCTGCTGTTGCCTGCACTGTCAAAATTCTGAATTAGAAGAGCTGAATCCAGGTGGAATCGTCTCCAGGAGGCTCCACTGATCTATGAAGGCAGCCCAATTCCCGGGAATGCTTTCCTAAAAATGCGCCTTCCACCGCCCGACCCAGGTCTGCAGATAAATGTGTCCCGAGCAATATTAGTCATTTCCACATCATTCCCCTCCTGCCCTTTCCTTGTTGGCTTTAAAATACAGTTCCAGGTGAGTGGAGCTGTGTGCAGACACAACTTGGGGATGAAATAAATCCCATCCTGGACCCAGTGGACTTTTCTGAGCGGATCCACAGCTCAGATGCAGGTGGATTTAGTGGCACTGATCCCGCCACTGGCTGTTATCTTTTTTGGAAGGACGTGGTTGGGTTTGTTTCTGGTGGTGCCAGTTGCTCTCTTAAGATGCTCCACCATCCTGGAGGATGGTGGAGCATCTTCAGAGAGCAACTGGCACCATTAGGATGGTGGAGAGCACTGGAGACCTGATGGATCTGTGGGTTTGGCAGCATTTCCTTGGAGCAGAGCTCAGTGTAGAAGAAATTCAGATCACCATCCTCTCCCATTTTCACCCTGCAGAACATCTTCCAGCCTATCCCATTTCCAAAAAAAAGGGCTCTCAGGATTGTGTCTGGGGCAACTGGTGCCTGCCAGTGCTCAGAGCCTCTGCAAAACAAGTCTTTGGCCATTCCCAGTTTGTGCACACAAGGATTAGTCCTAAAAATCCAGCCTAGATATCCTTAGATTTTAGGGAAACCTGAGAGGTTACATATCTTGCTTCCTCGCTGTGCTTCAAGTTTTAAGTCTGGTTTTGTTTCTTTTTTTTTTTTTTTTTTTTTTAGGTGCTGGGAGGAAATAGTGGAATCCCCATTCTGGTGGATCATTAAAACTCCTATTTTGGTGTCTATTTTGGTAAAGTATCAGCACATTCCGCTGGCTGCAAAGCCACCTTTAGTCCCTAGTGGTGGTGGGAGGAGGTTGAAGGGGTGTTGAGAAGTCTTCTGTAAATGCCTGTGGAAGATGCACTGGCAGGTTAAATCCCACTGCACCTTGCACATCTGTCTTAGGACGAGGGAAAAACTCTCCAGACAAACACTTTTACCTTTAGCATTGACCATGGAATGGTTTGAGTGACTGGGCCACCGAGGTGGGGCCCATTTGATGTGGGCTCTGACCCCTCCATCTCCTGCTTGCCCTGGGCACTCTGGCTGTGCAGCCAGAGGAGGTTGAGGGAACGTGGTTGGAGCTCCAGGAAAAGCTCATTTTGCCTCATGAATCAGTGGGGGTGTGAATTCAACCTGATGAGAGGGGTTTGGTTTTCTCTGAGCTGACCAGGATGACTCCTCCAGTTGCCGATGTCAACACCAAGAAGTGAAATGAGATGAGAGATGAGTCCCACCATAAATTTCTCGATAAAAAAAGGGGTTTGATGAATTCCCCTGGGGGGCATTTGCCTCTTTTTATAGCCCCCAGGGCAGAGCTGGATCCCAGCTGTGTGTTTTTAAAGCCAGTTCTCAAGAGGCTGGGCTGATTTCCAGAAAAATCAGCAGAAGTGTCTGATTTTAACTCTCTGGAGGTGATCAATTCTGACCACAGAAACCAGGACGCTTCTGAGGAGCTCAGTCCTCCCATCCTTGCTGAGCATTATGTGTTTCCTCTGTCAGGTATCGGGCCAAGCCTTAAAATCAAATGAGTTAAACTGAGCTCTGAGTTTTCTTAAACGAAGGCAAAAATGTGTGAAGGGAATACAGAAAAAAAAAAAAAAAAGCAACAATCTTTCCTTAGAACATTTATTCTTCTTATTCCACGTGCATCATGACCTTTACAAGAAGATTTATTTTATTTTTTTTCTGTAGCATTTGTCGTGCAGGGATTCAAAACTGCAACGATTTGAATAATGACATTTTACTCTGTTTACCTCGCTGAAAAGAAATACAGTACTTGGATGACACATCTCAAAATATTTATGTCATCACAGCGAGCTATAGATAGTACTTTCCCTTTCCTGAGATAAGCCTTCAGTCAAAAAATACACCCTATTATTCTCTTTGGATCAGTGAGTTCGTATTTGCTTTTGGCCAGTAAATCATTTCCTCCTTGCCAAACAAAAAGTTTACCCAGCAGTTCCTGATTCTTCTGCTGCAGATATCCCATAAATCTGTCCCAGAGGAAAGGCATGATAACCACCAGCTGATGAACAGCAGGTTTCTCCTGGGACTAATGCAAGATTTGCTCCATATCCGTGGGAATCAAGTGTAAGGCTCCATGTAAGGAAGAAGTGCATATCCAAGATATACAAGATATTTAAGATACATAACATATATCTTATATACAAGGTATTATACACTGGGAACATATCAAGTACCTCTGATTAGGCTGAAAAATAAATTAAAATACTTCTCCAGCATCCTGACATCCATATGTGCTACCATGGAATGCTAAGGTTGTGTTTCCCACTCCACCTTATTAACCACTGCCCATGGTTGCTCTTGAACCCTCCAAGCCAGCATTTAATGCTCCATTCTTACCTTCAGTGCTGCAGCCATCAGTGCTCATTAGGGTAATTGATCTAGATAACGATGTTTTGAACTCATAAATTTTACTTGCCACCAAGTCAGACACAAAGCATTTCCACGAGCAAATAAATACCAGCAGAAAACAAAGATAAATGGCTCAGGATAGATAAAAAGTGATTAAGCCATGCATCCAAGAAATACTGTTAATTTCCAATTACTCATAGCCTTTGTAAAAACAGTGAGTGTCTAATTGAGAGATGTGCTTCAGTCTATTTTATTCACCTTATTGTTGAGATGAATGCAGGAATTGCTGGGGGAAATGTTACAGTCTGGTTAATCAGATTGGCTGGTTAACACAATCCCTTTCCAGCTGCTGAGCCTCTGAAAATCAGAGTCATTTGTGCATTCACTAACCATGAAAGGATAAAGAAAGGGGCTGTGGCCAAACTAAAACTAAACTAAGTCCCCAGAAATTTATCACTGCTTTTCTGTTTTCTGAGTTGCGTGAATAACAGGATGATTTGATGGATGAGACCTCACAAATGCAAACAGAGTTGCATTCAGTCCATGCCATCTACTACATTCCATTGGGAAAATCCCATTCCTGGCTCTACACCTGGCTAATAAAGGGAGGTTAACATTGCTTGAGTGTGTTGGTGGAGCACTTTGAGTGAGAAGGACCCTCAAAAATCCCGGGGTCAGCTCCCAGTCCAACGTCCTAGCGGGGGGGACGTTTCCCGCTGTATCCACAAGGTCTCTCCCATGCTGTGCAAGTTCTCCACCCTCTCCCAGGGTGGGAAATATGGCCCAGAGCATTGAGTAGAGTGGGGTGGGTACTGCTCTGTGTTTTGTTTTGGTCTCCTTGGCTCGGTCTCTGACGTGCTCGGCAGCCGGTCCCCATGTCGGCGTCTCCCGAGGCCTTTGACATCCGTCGCTCGGCTCATTCCCAAGGCTCTTTCCCCAGCCCGGCGCCGGCCAGGACGTCGTGCCTAGCTGTGCTCTATGGGCTTGACATCATCATACTTGGGATGTATGACACGAAGTCCCAAGCAGGCTGATGTCAGGCCCAAGATGCCATCCTGTGTCCGTTTACTTTGGGCGCCCTGCTCGTGGCTGCTTAACCACAGCTTGTTCCGTGGCAAAAACGTGGCAGTGGAAGGAATTCCCCTCTGATGATGGGCTCTGCTCACCAGGGAAACATAACTAATGTTTTGCCTCTCTCTCTCTCTCTCTGTCTGTGTTCCCTTTCCTCCCATCCTGGCAGGTGAACTTCATCCTCTTCATCTGCATCATCCGCATCTTGGTGCAGAAGTTGCATTCCCCGGACGTCGGGCACAACGAAACCAGCCAATATTCGTAAGTCCTGGGCTCCTTCTACCATGTCCTCTGTTTTTTTTGGGAAACCTGTTTCACTGTTAGTTCATTATTGCATCACGATTCACTGTGGTTCACTATTGTGTCTGCCTGCACTGATCAGAATCAATTAATTGTTAATTGATTAAAGCTGATCAGAAAGCAGGAAACGGAGCATTTTCTAAAACAGCTGGACTGGTTTAATGTCAGTTTGAGGCAGGTGAGAAGGCCTTCTCCTGGGATTAGTGATGAAGTGAGAGCAACAATAATGATCATGAGGCAGAAAAAGTTCTTTCTTTGCATCTTTAATATTTAGTGGATTCTGAAGGCAGAGGAACCCTGAGGGACAACAAAGAGTTGCTGTACTCAGTGTATGGGCTTTTTTTTTTTTTTCTCATGACTCTCAGGTCCCTTTTTCAAAGAAGGAGAGGTCTAGAAAATTAGTCCATTCAGTAGAATCTGTGGCAGATTTTTCTTATCCCAAAGCAGACCTCTGAACTAGATTGGATTATTTCAATGCACTTCTCTTCAGTGTTGAGAAGGATAACTGTCTCAGAAGATTGGCTTGACTTAATGCTTTTATTCCAGGGATATAAAGTTGACCTTAACGGGGATTTTTATCATGAACAACATGCCAGTGAGATCAAAATCTGTCTCAGTGGCCTAGGCTGGTGTTAGTTGTAGAATTATAAGAGTGAAAAAAAAAAAATCCATCTCCATGGACTTGTTCTGGCTTCAGTGCAAACAAGACAAAAGTTCAGACCAGCTTATTTTTGACTCTTGCCACTGTCCTGGCTCGGCTTTTCAACTATCTTGGATATTTATTAAACGTTTCCTTGAAGAGAACCAAAATGAGAAAGGTCCTGTTTCTACACAGTCACTGCTCATAAATCTGCACTTTTGGGTACCCTGAAGAACCTGAGCTCAGTTCAGCTTTCTGCAAGATGGAAAACAATAACAGCCTGCTCCTTAAACGCTGCCCAGCCATGACACTGAGCCTGTCACTAGTGATGGTAAATTATTCATTTCATCTGCCTCGAGAGATTCTCTGATTTATGAAAGAAAAGGCCAGAGTTTGACCTTAACTTCTCCCTGCAGCAGCCAAAGCCAATTACCTCTGTTTTTGTCATCTCAGCAGTCCAATATTACCAACCCTGGGCCTTTTATCCCCCTATTTTTTTGTACTTCCAATTCGGATGTTGCACCTTTGCACCCCGGGATTGTGACGGCTCTGGCCAGGTGTGGAGATTAAATCAGCATATTGAAATATGTTCTGAGCAGCATCCTGGAGCTTTTGGGTTCAGGGCACATTTTCCAGTGAAGGGGGCAGTGAAATTTTCCCGGGAAAGCTCCTTTTGCCTCGTAAACAAACGTGGCACAGCAGTAAAGCAGAGTCTTCCCCTCACCCACCTGCCCAACAGGAGGTGCTGCTGAAGTACAGCTGAGCTTCCCATCTGCAGCCCCTCACCTCCCTTCCCCACCTCAGTTCCATCAGGGAATGACATCAGTTGCTCACTTCACAGAACCACAGAATCCCAGAGTGGTTTAGGTTGGAAGGGGCCTTCAAGCTCATCCAGTGTGATTCTGTTTGGGTTCCTCCTGCCAAGCCTGATATAAATCTATTTTGAACTAACAGCATCCTGGATATCCCATTTGCATTCTCCCCCCTTCTGTTGTTTGTTTTATATTGTTTATCTTCTAAAAGCACGCTGACATGTTGACAGCATTGTTCAAATTCCAAGGAATTTCAGTGTAGCTGCAGGCTGGAAGTTCAGGTGCACTGCTGACTCTCTTATTAAAGCTCCAGACAGGGAACTGGGCTTTCAGGTATCGGAAACTGTGAAAACAAGACTCCCAAAGCAGTTTTCTGGAAGTGGCAGAGGCACGTGCAGTAGTGGGACAGCAAAATTTCAGGCAAAGAGATTTTGTTTTCTACAACAGGAAACTTGAGTAAAGTTCACCTCTTCCCATTCTCTACGTGCTCGTAGATCAGTGTTGTCATCAAAGTTTTCTGGGTAGCTTTTCCATGATAATTTCAAGGAGCATGACTAAAATGTCCCAATGCCCACTGCCAAGGAGAGGAGTAGGTTCCATGCAGGCTGATGGACACGTGTTTTCCCCAAATTACCTGTCAGCATGTATATCTGTCAGAGAGGGAGGGTCTAAGACGTTCTGGGAATGAGATTTGTGAGTTTTTTGTGAATCCATGGCTTCCAGCAGGAAGATTTAACCAGCTGGAAGTTCTGCCTCCTGCACATCCAGGCTTTATCTTCCTGGGAGAAATTACACCCTGAGTGGGGAGGATGATTTTCCTCTTTGCAGTGTTTGGGGGGGGAATCTTTTAAATGTGACAGTGCTGGACCACAGAGCCCTTGCCCTGGTGCCAAACTGAGATCTGAAACGTCCCTCAGTGTCTGGAGAAGGAAGAGATTGGCCTGGGGGGTTGTGCAAATTAGGGGAAGGGCCTCAAGTTTTGGCATTTATGTCCTTTTCGTTGCCTCAGTGCATCCAGAAGGGGAAATGTTGTAACTGAGGCCCCAATGTTGTCTGCAAAGATCAATTTATCTGATCCTCTGGAGGTTGAAAACAGCATCTCTATCAATATGGTACACAAAGGTAGGGTCTCATCATCTCCTCCAGGCTAACTGTTCCTCAGAGGTTGGAGAGAGAGGAGAAAAATCCGACAGAAATATTCACTGAGCTGTGATCTGCTTAGAAAATGAGTTGCTTTCTCCTATATTTGGAGCTGGGGGCATTAGAGCTTGATCATCCTGGCCAGAGCTGCTGCTGAGAGTGAGGAACTTGGGACACTGATGGTCACCAAAGGCAGTGGCAGTGCCCTGGCAGAGCAAGAACCTCCAGGAGAACTCAGATTTTGGATCTACTCACCGTGAGCAGGGATGTGCCTGCTGGGGAGGGATGAGGGAAAGGCAAATTCCTGTGAAGTCCCCTCAGCTCCCTACGGGCACTGATGTTGCCTGGGATGAGTTGCACCCAGCAGGTATTCCCTGGGGAGCCACGGCCTCCAAAACCAGCCCTAGTGCCGAGCTGTCTTTGGGCCAGGCCCAGGGAAAGCTGGAAAGGTCTGCTGGGAGCTGCAGGGACGGGCATCATCTGCACAAAGCTGGCACATTAACCCTCCCACGGGGGCTGCTGCAGATGGCAAATAAATGAAGATGGTCTGAGAGGAGTGAGCCTGATGAGGCTTTGGAGGTGAAGGGTTTGCAGGTGGAAGGACAAGTATTTCCAGCATCCTCTCCTTAGCTTCGTTTCCTCCAGGAACCTCTGAGAGAGATGGAGGCGCCACGGGATGCGGGTGACCAAGGGAGCCAAAACCCCCACAAGCACCCTTAGACTCCTGATTTCATTTTATTTCGGTCAGCTATTTTTTAATAATGATTAGATTTAATAAATTATCATCTCCTCCTAATTAGGCCTCTGATTACCCAGGCTGATACCATCAAGCACTAATACTGCTCATCCCCCTCCTTTGGAGACATTCATTGTGCAATAGCCTGTCATTATTCCCAGCTAAACATACCATTTCTCTCCCAGAAGCTGTAATTTTCAGCAATCTCCCAAGCAAACAAAGACAGTGCTAGATGATGATTTAGCTGGTAGAGATGAGGAAAAAAAAAAAAGATCTCTGGTGGGAGGGGAAGAAGGGAGAAGGGAGGAAGAAATACCTCCAGTGGAGCTGCTAGGAATAAAGATGTCACATTTTATGGTGTCGCCACATCTGAAATCACCAGCTGCCTGCAGTCTGAGGAACAAGGAGAAATAATGTAGAGCTGATTGCTCTGCCTTCGCTGGAGCTGTGGATGTAATTATCTGAGAGCTGTTAACGAGCAGGAAATGCTCCCAGCACGGTCCCTGCTTAGTCTGAAGTGCCACATGGTGCTTGTCCCCATCTCAGCATCCATCCCCACCTGTCACTGCATCCCAGCCCAGGTGGGCAGAGGGATCCTGGTGAGGTTGAGCTGGGAGTGGCATCTCCACCCCCCCTGTTTTGCTGTACCCCAGACACTCCACCCCCCTGGGGTGAGGGCAACCTCCTGGTGCTCCCTTGCTCAAGGCTGGGTGTTCCCAGGACCTCGGGGGGAGCGTCCTGAGGACAAACAAAGTCACTTCACATGTAGATCCAGGCTCCATCACCACAATCCAGGCAATCAGCAAGTAGGTCCTGCAGCACATTCGATGTCCAAGGTTTCACAAGGCTCAGGGCTGTAGGATTTCTCATCCTCTTCCCCTTCAGCTCCTCTTCCCTCTCCCCTTCCTGTCTCATGTTTGTCTTTCCAACAGGAGGCTGGCCAAGTCCACGCTGCTGCTGATCCCCCTCTTTGGCATTCACTACATCATGTTTGCTTTCTTCCCTGACAATTTCAAAGCAGAAGTGAAGCTGGTCTTTGAGCTCGTGGTTGGGTCCTTCCAGGTAAGCCACCCCTTTGGGGCCACCACTCAGCCACCAGGTCTGGCAGGAGGGAGAATTGTGATGACAATAAGCAAAAGTGAGCTGCTCTTTCCTGGTCGTGCCCAGTGCAGCTCTTGTACCTTTGGGGACAAAGCTCCTCACTCCAGCATGGCCAGGATGGGAGATAAACTGGAATTCCAGGAGGAGATTCTCCCTCCTCGTTTCAGGCACCTGAAAAGAAAATGGACATCTGTACATTTAGTCACCCTGGGGGTTTATGTGCTTAAGGGGAAAAAAAAAAGTGAGCATCACAGGTCAGTTTATCTAATGTTGACATATTATATGGCAATATAATTGGTTGGAGGGGACTTGGAGCACCCTGGTCTAGTGGAAAGTTGTCCCTGTCCATCTCATGGGGTTTGGAACTAGATGACTTTTAAGGTCTCTTCCAACCCAAACCATTCTACGATTCCACAGCATAAGGTGAGTTAAATCACCTTTGATGGGAGTGTCTTTCTGCCCATCAACAGGAGCCTGGTCTGCCTTCAACCACTTGGCTTGAATGAACTTTCTCGTCTATTCACCAGTCAAGTGCTGCCTGTGGCTGCTGCTCGGGCAGGATCCCAGTTCAGTGGTGTAGGAGACAGTCTCCCCACGAGGATGGATGATGGATGGGGCTGTCCTCCACGTTAGTCCTGCTGAAGTTTGGTTCTCAGACCTTCCCACACACTTCAGTCAGTGTTGGGCCACTAAACTTGACCCCGAGGCTGCACAAAAAGCCCTGATTTAAGTGTTTCCTCCCATTGCTTCTGTCCATTATCAGTTCCAGCCACGTCCTCACAGCCTGGGAGTAGGGTCTGGCTGTCCCCATGTCCCCTGCACGTGCCAGTGGCAAGTTTTATTCAGTGGTGAACGAGTTAATATCCCTCTCTGTAACGTCACCGATTCACATCTGGCACGTGGAAGTGCTCAAAGACCATCAAGATGTGGCACTTGGGGACATGGGTTAGTGGTGACGATGGCAGTGTTGGACTTGATGATCTTAGAGGTCTTTTCCAGCCTTCACAATTCCACGATTCCATGATCCTTCCTTTGAGATCATTGTATTCAGTGCTAAAAGCCTGTTCTCTCCTCTTCCCCAGGGATTCGTGGTGGCCGTTCTGTACTGTTTTCTCAACGGAGAGGTAAGAGCAGCAGTGTTGTTTGGCTCATGTTTGCCAGCTAAATGGACTGAGTGTCCCATTCCCGATGTCACCACGCCGGTGAGAAGCACCCAAGGCAGATCTCTCACTCCAGAAAAAACAGTTCAGCCAGTTTCCCTGACAGTTTTCAGCATAATTAATAAACGTGGCAGGGCTTTTGTGTGCATTGCTGCCTAGTCCACCCTTTAGTCACGAGACAGCATCAGCAGAACCTTCCCCAAACCCTGATCCTAAAGGCCCACCTTCAGCAGGGAAGGATAAATCCCATCTAAGCCCTGCTAAGTGCCTCAGTGAATCCTCCACAGGGCCAGGCCCACTGCTGGGATGGAGCTCATTAGTGCAGTGATATTTTTGTGTCGTCCTCCACCCGCCCATAAGAAGTTCAGCTGATTAAGCCCGCGTTGCAAAGGTTCCCAAGCAGATGTGAGCAGATAACAGGCTCAGAGCTGCTGTCATCTGATGCCCTTCCAGCCCCATAAACAGAGCAAGGGCAGGAAAGCAGCAGCTGTGAGCTGGGTTTGTGCTGCAGCTTCCCAGGGAGAGGAACAGCGTCCAGAATCCCAATTTTCTCCCTGCCATGTGTCCATCAGGCAGAGAGCCCAGCTCCAGCAGAGACCTTTCCCAGTAATCCTACCTGGGACAGGGCAGTGCCACACAAACTCACTGGTGAACCAAAGCCAACAGAGGCATTGATGTGACTTGTTAGGCCCAGGGCAGTGCCAGGTAAACATGTTTCTACCTTGCAGGCACTGAGCTTGCCTTTCCCACCCTCCTAGTCCGGGGATTCTCATGCTGGTAGTGTGCTGTTCCTGTGCTTGCTCAGCCCAGAGCCTCTCAGACGTGGCTGTTATATCTAATTCATAGTTACCTAAAAATTTGGGCTGGAAGGCTGGAGGAGGGGCCAGGGACAGTGGCCAGACTTGTTCAGGATTTGAGTCAGGACAGTGTAAACCAGATCATTTCTGTGAACTCCCCAAGCGGCAACAAGTAGCTTCCATCAAAAGCGCACAGCTTTACAAACAAGCTGTAGTGAAATCATCTCTATTTGGACCAAAAACAGGGCAGTGGAAAAAAAAAAAATCTCAATTATTAAGATTAATTAATTACTCACAAAGTGTAGAGCATGTTGAAGCTGGAGTTAAATATTCTGCCACCTTCGCTGCGTGAATAAGAAATTCCCTGTGCTCACCTTTCTGCTGGAGCTCAGGGATTTCTGATGTCTGGGGTGTTCCCTCTCTTCTATGTGGCTAAAAATCCAGGCCAGGCTGAGTTTAGTGACCTTTATAAAATAATTCGTGGGTGGGTGGGTGGGTGGGTCACCCACGGCTGCTCACGCAACGAAATCAGAGCCGCAGAGAGTGATTTTCCCGTCTCTCCAACGCCCAGGTCCAAGCTGAGCTCAAAAGGAAGTGGCGGAGGTGGCACCTGGAGAGGTTCCTGGGCTCGGACATGAAGTACCACCACCCTTCCTTGGGCAGCAACGGCACCAACTTCAGCACCCAGATCTCCATGCTGACCAAGTGCTCGCCAAAGACTCGCCGCTGCTCCAGCTTCCAGGCCGAGTTCTCCCTGGTGTGACGGGGAGGGGCTCTCTCTCCCAGGCAGGGAGCAATCCAACAGAGACACCGAGAGACTGAGGGACCCCCCCCCCAGGGGGACCAGCGGTGACAAATCCCTGTGAAATGACACGCTCCACGTGAGCCAGCAGAGGACACGCAACTGGAAAAGCCGCCGGCATCCAGGATGGGACCGGACGAGCCGAGAGGCAGAGGAATGTTTTTTCCTCTCCCTCTTTTCAGGCCTCTCACTCCTCAGTTTCGAGCCCTCGAGGGGGGGTTGATAACTCTGAGTAAAGGTCCCAGTGGCTTGAGGAAAGCCTGGGAGATCCTGGTGTGTGGTAAATAATGAAGTACAGGGGGAGGAAGGGAGGGGAGAGCCCGAGAGTCCTTGGGGGCTTTACCGGAACCGGCATCTCTGAAACAGA